AATACTTTATAAATAGCTTTAACAATACACAGATTTATAGTTCACATGAAGATATTACAGTCAAAATGTGACTAAAATCATGCACAGGCTTGGAAACATAATGTTAGACAAATGATGGGGGTTCCTCAAAGACAGACATGAATGACGTGCTAGGTTTATGTCTTCAGCCCATGCCTTCCATAGCTTTCCTTCCACCAGTGTCCCATCATGTCTTCCTGACCTCTAACCTCTTCTTCATCTTGGTTTCTAAAGTTGTGCCAGCTATCTTATTTGCTTCCTATCATCCATAGAATTTATCTGAGTCTGGACTTCCAGGGGTATCAAAGAAAGCTACTGCAGGAGACTAAAGGAGAGAACAGAAGGAGGTATTAGGCCCCTGGCTGTCTCTCATTGACATTAGGCTTTGATAGCTGGTTCAAAAAGAAAAAGCTGCTGACTTCCCCTGTAAGCTACTGAATCTAAAGAACAAAGGTTGAAGCTCTCTTAAATCAATCATTCCAAAGGTAGATGGCCTTGTACAAGGTAGAGGGTAGCCTTGGAAAATCGCACAAGGACTGTTGTGCAAGGTTACAGGGCCCCATTTGCAACCCTCCCTTTCCAACTTCAGTTTAGTTTTCCCAACAGACCTTCTCTTTGAGTGTCAGACCAAAGGACTTATATAGATATCCCAGTTTTGTCAAGATTTGTGTCAAACTCACTATCTCAGAGCAATACTTTTTACCTTGTTATTTGGCAAACAGGATCAAGCTATAAGCATAAGCACTGCACACAGAACCTCCCCCACGTTCTCTTCATGAGAATGGAGAGGCTGTCTTTAGCCCACAGTAAAGATAACCCTAGATACCTTGATAAACTATGCAAATAGCAGCAAAGGTGAAAGAGACACTGTGGAACATGAAGGTCACCTTGGGCATGACAACACATGCACATATGTGTCTCTAGAAAACTTGCTGGGGAAGGTATTGCAGAGGCACGTAGCTGTTGTCTTTTAAGATGTCCTAGTCCTCATTGAAATGCTGATGTAGCCACGAGTTCATCGCGGCTCAGGTCATCTCTCACATCCTCACTGGAATATGCAATAGAACATCTATTTGGAAGAAACTCCCTGCTCCTTTTTTTTTTAATTGGGGCTGGTTAATTCTTATTAGGACTGGCTTAATAAATTTATGCTGATTCCATCTCACTCTCCCTTTAGTGTCTGAGGGCATCATATTTGCAGAGCAGCTAACTCATGGCTCAGAATCTTACATGTGTTCAGTGCTTTACAGTTTACATAGCAGAGGTGCACAACAGCCAGAAGATATAATGATCACTGTGGCTTTTATGGACAACAGCACTGAGGCTACCAAAGGATTAAGTAACTGATTAGAATAAAGCAAAGAATGCCCCCTTTGAATTCTAGTAATGCATGATTGCTTTTGTTTGAATTTTTTAAAAAAGCAGTTCTCAAGACTTTCTGTTGTGATTCCAGCCCCAGAAAGTGCAACTGAGACTACTTAAGGTGGAGTCTGTCCCAGGCTCCCGTGATCCCTTCCAGAAGCTTGAAACTCAGGTTGGAGGCAAAGGAGGAGGCTACAGCCTGAACTCCTCTCTAAAAGGAGAGCATTCTTTTTTTTTTTCAGTTCTATTGTACTTTATTGAATTTTTTTTGATCTTGTTAATGTACAATTACTTGAACATTATGGTTACTAGACTCCCCCTATAATCAAGTCCCCCCCACATACCCCATTACAGTCACTGTCCATCAGTGTAGTAAGATGCTATAGAATCATTACTAGTCTTCTCTGTATATACTGCCTTCCCCATGTCCCCACCTCTCTACACTATGTGTGCTAATTGTAATGCCCCATTTTCCCCCTTATCTCTCCCTTCCCACCCATCCTCCCCAGTTCCTTTCCCTTTGGTAACTGTTAGTCCATTCTTGGGTACTGTGAGTCTGCTGCTGTTTCCTTCCTTCAGTTTTTTTCTTTGTTGTTATACTCCACAGATGAGCGAAATCATTTGATACTTGTCTTTCTCCACCTGGCTTATTGCACTTAGCATAATACCCTTTAGCTCCATCATGTTGTTGCAAAAGGTAGGATTAGTTTTCTTCTTATGGCTGAATAATATTCCATTGTGTATATGTACCACTTCTTCTTTATACATTCATCTACTGATGGACACTTGGGTTGCTTCCATTTCTTGGCTATTGTATATAGTGCTGTGATAAACATAGGCATGTATATGTCTTTTTCAAACTGGGCTGCTGCATTCTTAGGGTAAATTCCTAGAAGTGGAATTCCTGGGTCAAATGGTATTTCTATTTTTAGTTTTTTGAGGAACCTTCATAATGCTTTCCACAATGGTTGAACTAATTTATATTCCCACCAGTGTAGGAGGGTTCCCCTTTCTCCACATCCTCGCCAACATTTCTTGTTGTTTGTCTTTTGGATGTTGGCCATCCTAACTGGTGTGAGGTGATATCTCATTGTGGTTTTAATTTACATTTCTATGATGACTAGTGATGTGGAACATCTTTTCGTGTGTCTGTTGACCATCTGAATTTCTTCTTTGGAAAACTGTCTGTTCATCTCCTCTGCTCATTTTTTAATTGGATTATTTGTTTTTTGTTTGTTGAGGTGTGTGAGCTCTTTATATATTTTGGATGTCAACCTTTTATTGCATCTGTCATTTATGAATATATTCTCCCATACTGTAGGATGTCTTTTTGATTTACTGATGGTAATCTTTGCTGTACAGAAGCTTTTTAGTTGATATAGTCCCACTTGTTCATTTTTACTTTTGTTTCCCTTGCCCGGGGATATATATTCATGAAGAAGTCACTCATGTTTATGTCCAAGAGATTTTTGCCTATGTTTTTTTCTAAGAGTTTTATGGTTTCATGGCTTACATTCAGGTCTTTGATCCATTTTGAGTTTACTTTTGTGTACGGGGTTAGACAATAATCCAGTTTCATTCTCTTACATGTAGCTGTCCAGTTTTGCCAACACCAGCTGTTGAAGAGGCTGTCATTTCCCCATTGTATGTCCATGGCTCCTTTATCATATATTAATTGACCATATATGCTTGGGTTTATATTTGGACTCTCTAGTCTGTTCCACTAGTCTATGGGTCTGTTCTTGTGCCAAGAGGAGAGAATTCTTAAGTAGCCTTGGGAATATTTGGGTACTAAATGGTTTCAGGATTTTTCAATGAAAATGGAGCAATGGCAGGTAGACAGAGGTAATACCTGGAGGTACTCCTTCAGAAAAATCTTTCAGGGAACAATTTGAATTAGTTGTTCATGTATAAAACAAGGAAGCATCAGTTCTGCGATCCTCACCTCTTACATTAATGCCTACCTTTACCCATTGTAACAGGCCTCATTGGAATATTTTCAATGTTCACAGGATCTACAAGATTTGAACTATTGTTTGTATTTGATTATTTTTGACCTACAAAATGCACTTTGAGATAACTCAACTCAATATAAAATATCCCTAATGAGCCAAAGAAAAGCAAAGAACAAAACTGAAAGCAGACTTTGTGGGTTAAAAATAGTAAAGGTTTGTATACTTGGGTTAGAAACATCCAAATAGGGGAGAAATTGGGAGACCTGGGAAGAGATGTCAAGCAAGTCAAATGCTGAGGGGAATCGAGGTGGCTGCAGTACAATCAAAGGACAATTCCGTGGCTGGTCTAGACAGAGAAGTGGCCTTGAGCATTTAACTGGCCTGGAGTCCTTAATGGTAGTCCCTAATTTTTATTTGCTCCTCCTTCTGATTTAGCTCATACCTTTTTACTGAACTTAAAATTAGTTTTCATTTAGTGACCTATTGTGTACATTTTATATGTTTCTCTTTCACAATTCAATCTTACTTTCCCAGTGAGATTACTGACTCCTGAGGGTAAGTTCCTATGCCATTTATTCAGCCTTTCAGGGCAGGGAAATAAGCACTGAGTTAAGTGCTCAGGAAATATCTATTACATAAACTGGAAACTGATCATGAGTCTCTGTTACCAGAGAGCTCAGCTGGAAAAGCAAACTCTGGAAGGACCAATAAATAATGACATCCACCTTTTGGAAGTACCTCCTAGGTGCTCTCTTCCATGCTATATGTTTAGTATATACATTTGCTCCACCCCAACAACAACTGTTCAGAGTATTATTATTACTAACTTCATTTTCCAACTGAGAATACTAAGAGATATCAGAGAGACTAAATGGCTTGTCTAAACCACACTGTAAGTACCTGAACTTCAAAGCCAAGTGTGCTTACCCCAAAGCCCACCCTCTTTCCACTGGTTTTCTGCTTTGTGCCTGCCACCCTTTTATAATAATAGTAACAATAACCAAGGCTTATAATCTTACTACACTGATGGACAGTGACTGCAATGGAGTATGAAGGGGGACTCGATAGTATGGGTGAGTGTAGTAACCACATTGTTTTTCATGTGAAACCTTCATAAGAGTGTAATATCAATAATACCTTAATAATAAATAAATTAGGCTTGTTTACAGAGGTTACTCTGTGCCAGGCAGTGTTCTAAAGTCCTTTACATACATTACTTCCTTCAATCCTCACAACAAGCCTAGTAAGTGGGCTCCATTCAGTAACAGAGTTTAAAGACTGCATTATCCTGGACTTGTAAATTAGAGCCAGAAGGAGATTCTGTAGAACAATAAAACATAATTCCTCTGTGCCTTTTTATCTAGAGGGAGAAACCCTGCAACCTACATGGTATCCCACCTGCACCCAGCCCCAAGAGGGCCAGGAAGGGAGCTTGGACTTGGGGTTTCTGCCTGCCCCACAGCAGTCCTGTAGGAGAGGCCCTAGGTCGGAAGCAGAGGGGAAATGGACAGAGAGCCAGCTCTGAGGCCATCAGGGCTCTGTGGCAGCTTTCCCCTGCATGATCCTATGCTTCCTTAATTTGTCCATGAAAAGACCTTCTCTACCAGTCAACTTACAATGCTTGTGAATATAAGGACAATAAAATTAATATTTTCTTCTTTTTAGGCTCATTCAAAAGTTTGGCATAACTACAACATAAATTTCCGTCCACATCAGAAAGGTTGGTTATCAATTACATTGGGATCCCATTGGATTGAACCAAACAGATCAGAAAATGCTATGGATATTCTCAAGTGCCAACAATCTATGGTTTCTGTGCTTGGGTGGTTCGCCAACCCCATCCACGGGGATGGCGACTACCCAGAGGTGATGAAAAAGAAGTTGCTCTCTATTCTACCCCTTTTCTCCAAAGCAGAGAAGAATGAGGTGAGGGGCACAGCTGACTTCTTTGCCTTTTCCTTTGGACCCAACAATTTCAAGCCCCAGAATACCATGGCTAAAATGGGACAAAATGTGTCACTCAATTTAAGAGAAGTGCTGAACTGGATTAAACTGGAATATGGCAACCCCCGAATCTTGATTGCTGAGAATGGCTGGTTCACAGACAGTCATGTGCAAACAGAAGATACCACAGCCATCTATATGATGAAGAATTTCCTCAACCAGATTCTTCAAGGTTGGTTGCACATTAATTAGCTCCATTTGTTAAAACTGTTTGAATACTTTTCCTATAGAATATTTAAAGTCACCTTCAAATATATGATTGCTGTTACTGTGGTTGAACTTTCATATTGTCCAATGTTGAAGAATTTTTTTAATGTTACTGTCATGTCCTTTTTATTAAAGCTTGAGAGCAAAATAATTTTAGACTGTAGATACATCCTTAATTGGCAACAAGATGCTGTTTTTCACTCTTTTAAAAAGGACATTATCTAAAACAGATTTGTCCAGTTTTCTGAGTAGTACTTTAGTCTAATATGTTGAAAGCGTTCCTTGAAATTATGCTGTTTATACTTTATTTTATGACTAAATGGTGAAAAGGTCTGAAGACAAAGAATGAGTCATGAATAGCAAAGCTGAGTGATTTCTATTGCTTCTGGATATTTCTCTGATCCTTAGGTATCCCCTCCTTTTCCATTACTCAAGTAGTGACATCTACAGGTGGCTGACAGAAATTATGGAACGGAAGACAAGTTATGATGGTTCTGTCTCCTACAGAGCTGGGCTCCATTTCATTCAAATACAAAGAAATTATCAGTGGATCTTTCTAGACATCTATAGCTCTCTTTAGAAGTTGCAAACCTGGAGGAAAACCCCAGTTTTACAAGACAGTCTTCAGGGAGGGTTCACAGGGAGAGCAAGTCTGCTGCCCCCACCTGTGGGAAGCAGCAGCGTGGAATGAAGCCACAACACCCAGCCACGCAGCCGCAGGCATGTGCACGTGGAGAGCCTCCGGAGCACAGGACTCTGCCTGCAGGGCCAGGGCCAAACACTATGTGCTGGATGGAAGGACTGTCCATTCCCCAGGTGTTAGCCTTCCACCTCTCCTCAGGACCACATAACTCCAAAGGAACTAGAATTAGGACCTGCTGGAGTGTACTTGTCTCTTAGCATGGATTTTCCACCTTTTAGGAAGAGAATATCAGTGATGAAACTCCAAAAATGAAGAAATAAGGTATTTCTATGAGAAAAATGAAAGCTTTTAAGAAAAGAAAAATGGTTCGTGGTTAATTTGGGTATTTGTTGCCTTTATTGCAGCTGTTGATTTCGTATTATATTTTTACCCAATTCCTAGAAGTTACTGAATCACTAGTTTTTAAGGTTAGAAAGGTCCTGAGAGATCAGCTTTTCCAATCTTTTCTGTTAACAAATGAGGAAACTGATGTCAAGAAACTTGCCCAATAGCACTCTCCCAGGAGCACAGCAGACCAAGCCCGCCCTCCTCCTGCCCCTCAGTCCAGTCAGGTCTTGTTCTCTTGCATCATTATTTGTCTCCTCCTTATATATGGAAAAAGAACATTCACTTATGTTCATTCTCAAAACTAATGTTTCAGTCCCTGAAGGATTGTTTTATAGAAGGTCCAGAAACAGGATCCAACCCAAGCTTGAAATGAGACTTAGTCAAAAGCAGACATCTGCATTGGTCCCAAAGGGTTCTGAAAATTTCCATGCCTTCTGACACAGATCTGCACACTAAGTCTCAGGAATATTTTTAATTTGATCCTTTAACTGTGTCATTCACTTGTGGTGGTGGTGAGGGGGCATTCTGGATGAAAATAACTGCCACCTCACATGGTGTGGGTGGGACCATGGGGAAGAAAGTGTAGCACAGAGAAAGCAAATAGTGATTCTGTGGCATCTTACTATGCTGATGGGCAGTCACTGCAATGGGGTATGGAGGCGACACGATAATATGGGTGAATGTAATAACAACATTGTTTTTTCATGTGAAACCTTTATGACAGTATATATCAATAATACGTTGATAAAATAAATAAATAACTGCTACTTTCCCAGTATAAACATGAATTTTTTACTTGATACAATGGGCCTGTAAATTAGGGGAAAAGGTTGGTTTCACAATATGCTGTCCCCAGCATGTCATTAATGAAATTGTAAACATGAACCAGAGCTTAGGCCTCTGAACATTTCTGCCTTTTTTCTCTCTGTGCAGCAATAAAGTTTGATGAAATACGAGTGTTTGGTTACACTGCCTGGTCTCTCCTGGATGGCTTTGAGTGGCAAGATGCTTATACCACCCGCCGAGGATTATTTTATGTGGATTTTAATAGTAAACAAAAAGAAAGAAAGCCGAAGTCTTCGGCACATTACTATAAACAGATCATACGAGAAAATGGTTTTACTTTAAAAGAGTCCTCACCAGATATGCCGGGTCAGTTTCCCTGTGACTTCTCCTGGGGTGTCACTGAATCTGTCCTTAAGGTAAGTGGCAACTTATAAATTAACCATAAATTAGGACAAACAGCACACAATATTTTATTCCATTTACTCAATGGCAGCTAAGAGATAATTGTCAGACAATATCAAATACCATGATTACTTGGTTATAAAGGGAGGCTGTGGAGAAAGGAAGGAAGAGGATGAGAATTAATGGTCACTGAGAGCCTTTCATGCATCAGAACTCAAAATCTGGTGATGGAGGTGACAAAGCTGCCCTCGGGAACATGCAGTCCAAAGAGAACCCACAGTCATTTCTGTAAGAGGCATTTGTTAGTAATGTCAAAATTATAGGAACATTTTTTATGGATTTTTGCTTTGCCAAAGTAAATTATTAGTGGCCCTTTATTTAAAAGGTTCCTGTTTTCTTGATAGATTTGGGTACTTTGCCTCTGTATCTCCATTCCTCAGCATATTCAGATAATTTACTCAAATGTCACTTTCTCAGTAAGGCCTCCTCCACTCCAAAACATCATAACTTGATCATGATCCTCTCTCATCCCTCTTTCCTGATTAATTTTTTTATATAGCATTCATCACTATTTAACATATTATGTAGTTGATACATTTTTCTTTTTTCCCCTTTAGATTTATTAAGATATAATTGACATACAACATTGTGTAAGCTTAAGGTATATAGCATATGGATGTGACACATTTACATATTGTGAAATGATTATCACCTCCATACTATCACACATAATTTCCATTTTTTTGTGGTGAGAACACTTAAGACCTGCTCTCTTAGCAACTTTCTAGTACAGAATGTTGTATTATTAGCCATATCACCCCCAAAGTTCAGGCTTTCTTATGCTAATGCTTTTCCTCCTGTTGCATGTTGAGTAGAGCAGCATCAGGCACATGACAGTTGCTCAATGAAGAGTGGATGAATAAGGTCAACTTGTAGAGTAGGGTGAGACCTTACAGACCTCTTATTTCAAATCCTTCATTTTATAGATGAGGAAGGTGAGACCCATAAATTAATAACTGAGACCTTAGTGACCTGACTAAGGTACACAGATGGTGGTAGAACTCCAACAGGCAACCCTCAAGCCCCCATGTGCACCATGCTCTTTCCAAAGTAGTAACCATTTTAAGCCATTATTATATGTCAAACATTTAACACATATACACATTCTCTCTACTAAATCTTAAAACCCTGATTTTACAGGCAAGAAAACTGACGCTTAGGGAGGTTACATAACTTGTCTGGTACCCAGTTCCTATCTCCTCCTCCACATGGCAGACAGGCCATCTTTTCCCTACCACTTCAAGTGGGTTTATATTTTCCAAAATTCAAAACTCAGCACAGAAAGATTGCAGGAGAGCCTTAAGTTCCCACCTGTTCATGACCCAACCTGCAAGTTCTTGCTGCATCTGAAGACCCATCTGTTCACCAGTGATTGACACTGGATGTTTGCATCATTCTGGGGACCCTATTCCTACTCCTAGAAGGAAAAGCTGATTATTTGGGTCAAGAGAAAACAAATCTGTGGTCAACCAGGTCTGGGCTTCATGCTTACACCTGGAGCCCAGTGAGAAGTGTAAGCATGAAGTAACTTGAACTAAGAGGGGGAATGAATTGTTTGCCAAGAACAATTAGGGTGCTTTTAGAAAAATCAACCAGAGGATGTATGAATAGATATTGTGTAGGCAAAAAAAACCTAGATGTCCCTGTAGGAAGACTGAAAGAATGAAAGTAACACTTTAAAAATATTACTATGCCTACCCACATACATCCTTATTTTCTCTCAGGCTCTTAGCATTTTTTTATGCTCCAACATGTTCATTTGAAAATTTTCAAACTCATATAATAAACACCCATATTCCCTTCATCGAGACTGAGCAATTGTCAGCATGTTGCCACATTTGCTCTTTTATGAACCACTGAAAAGTGGCAGACGTTACACTTCACCCCAAAACATTTCAGCCTGTGTGCTTTATAATAAGGATATTTTCCTATCTCATTGTATCATTATCATATCCAGAAAATTTATATTGACCCAATATCATCTACCATACATTCCAATTTCAATTTTCCTAAATGTCCCAAAAATGTCCTTCATAGATTTTTTAAATGTTTGGATCAAGAATACAAACTAGGATGATACATTAGTCATCATGCCTCTTTAGCTTCCTTTAATTCAAAATAATTCCCTCAACCTCATGGTATTGACATTTGAAAAGTCCAAACAAGTTGGCTGTAGAATGTCTCAAGCTCTGGATTCCCCCGTTTCTTTATTAGATTCAGTTGACCACTTCTGAAAAAACTACTACATAAGTAAGGTGTGTATTTCCCAATACATCATACCAGGAACCCCATGATAGGTTTATTTCATTACAGATGTAAGTGTGTTGAAGTAGTGGTTAGTGGTTACCAGATTTCTTGGTTAAGGTGGCATTTGCCAGATCTCTTAACAAAAAGGTACCTTTTCCATTTGTAATGGTGATACTTTGAGGCTGCATACATATCCCATTCCCCAACATTTCACCCAATAGTCTTAACATTGATTCATAAATCTTACCTGAATTATTACTTTGAAAATCACAAAATGATGAATTTCTAATTAGATTATTCCTTCTAAATTCATTAGGCAGATTCTTCTAAATTCAATGTATTATTGTCATTGTTTTGTTAGTCCTTCTGATAATCAAATCATCTCAAATTTGGCCAGTGGGACTCTTTAAAACATTCTTGTATCTTTTTGAAGTGTCCCTTTCAGTTTTTAAACACTTCCTTATTTTTCTATACCAGCATCACCTTTTTCCTGCCCCAGACCTGGAAAAAGCCATTTCTGCAAGAAGCCCAGGATCTTTTCAGTGGGCAACAGAATTTTAGAACCAAGCTCTGGGAGCTATGGTTGAGATTGGGGTGCATGATTACTTAACCACATCTCTTAGCAGATTAGTCATACCCACTTGCTGAAACTAATGCTTTCTGGAGGTTTTTTTAAAGTAAGGCAGATTTTCATTTGATCTGGCCTTACCTTGTGGCAAGATTGCCCTTTGTAAGCAAGCTTGGAATAACGTGATGCTTTGAGGTTTCAAACCACTGAGACTGGTAATCTAGAAGGAGAATTACTCAAATAATTATATACAGATTTAACTTCATGCTCACATGATCAATGTTCTCTCAGTTTAATGTTCTAGATAACTAGTTGGCAGATGGCAAGTGGGCAGTGATATGATTTTGTAATTAGGCTATGAAAGATAACACATGAGAAAACAATTAGAGGGGAAATATTTACCAGTGGTTATTTTTACAAGTGCATTTAAATTCAGACATGGGAAGAAAAGGTACTTTAAAATAAATACAGAACTTTAACTTTCTCTGATTTATCTTGAATTTGGAAATGTTTTTATTAAGCCCTTTTCTGTTTTAACTTAGACTCAAGAGGCTGGCAGGCAATTATTGCAACCAGGGAAAATTAAACTCAAGTCATGAGTACCCGATGTTTGTCGAGTGGTTTAGAGTTGACAGAGCACTTTCCTAGGGTCATTGACTCCTCACAGCACACCTGGGAGCTGGACGAAATTGCTCTATCACTATACAGAGTTGCCAAGCATGAGTTTCAAAGGGGCAGAATGAGACCAGGAGTCCAAGGTTGTCACCTTTTTAGAGTGGCAGGGAATGAGACACCATCAGATTCAAGAGTCAACCTGGGAATTTGTGGGGGGTATTTTATTGTCCTTTCCACTTTGAGTAATCCAAGTACTTTGAGTAAAGAGGGTGGTCAGTATTCTCCTGGTGGATGAATAAATGCTGTGCTCTCACAGGCAATGGGTTGGGGAAAACATGATGCACATGTGGTATCACTTGGATTTTTCCAACAGGAGGTGTTTCTGAGAGTTGCATTCAGCAAATACAAGAGGCCGTTGCCTACCCCACCCACTGGCATCTTTCAGGAAGTGTGGCTGGGGTCATCCAGCCTCCTCTAGCCCCAAGTGCTGATCTCAGTGAAATCCTCTACAATTGGAATTTTAACTTTGCCCTCAATTTATGACAGAGTTTGGAAGGTCCATCTTTTGTGATTCCTTTTAACTGAGGGTACCAAGCAATATCTTGATGCACTTGAACAGAATCATGTGAGACCCCACTGTATAACTTGGGTTTTAAGGACAAAGAAACAAAAACAATTTATCAGTGTTTTCCAGGAAACAGCTTGTTTCCCAGGCCAGGCCCTGAGGGTGGTTCTTTCTGTTTTCTAGTCTCCCTGGGAGATTTCAAGGGTTGGAAGGGAGGATAATCCATCAGGACTTTTCTCTAACATCACCAAAAGAACAGGAGGAACACACAGGTCCATAAGAAGGACACACACATTTATTTTCTCTATTGTCAGTGACAGGCAAAATTAAATCAAAATAAGATTCTTTCTCTCACAGGGTATGTGCTGACAGCTTGTCTTCCGGGGTGTGCTTCACTTGAATGTGCTTATTTTACAGCCCAGGTCGGTGGCTTCCTCCCCACAGTTCAGTGACCCTCACCTCTACGTGTGGAATGAGACAGGCAACAGACTGTTGCACCGAGTGGAAGGAGTGAGGCTGAAAACACGGCCAGCTCAATGCACAGATTTTATCAGCATCAAAAGACAACTCGAGATGTTGGCAAGAATGAAAGTCACCCACTACAGGTTTGCTCTGGACTGGCCCTCAGTCCTTCCCACTGGCAATCTGACCACGGTTAACCGCCAGGCTCTGAGGTACTACAGGTGTGTGGTCAGCGAGGGGCTGAAGCTCAACATTTCCCCAATGGTCACATTGTACTATCCGACCCATGCCCACCTAGGCCTCCCGACGCCCCTGATGCACAGCGGGGGATGGCTGAACCCATCCACGTCCAAGGCCTTCCGGGACTATGCTGGACTGTGCTTCCAGCAGCTGGGGGACCTGGTGAAGCTCTGGATCACCATTAACGAGCCCAACCGGCTAAGTGACATTTACAACCGCACTAGTACCGACACCTACAGGGCTGCCCACAACCTGCTGATCGCCCACGCCCTAGCCTGGCGCCTCTACGACCGGCAGTACCGGCCCGCGCAGCACGGGGCCGTGTCCCTGTCACTGCACTCGGATTGGGCGGAGCCCGCCAACCCCTACGCCGACTCGCACTGGGAGGCGGCCGAGCGCTTCCTCCAGTTCGAGATCGCCTGGTTTGCAGAACCCCTCTTCAGGACCGGGGACTACCCGCTGGCCATGAGGGAGTACATTGCCTTCAAGAACAGGCAAGGGCTCTCACGCTCCATGCTGCCTCAGCTCACAGACGAGGAGAGGAGGCTGGTCAAGGGCGCTGCCGACTTCTACGCCCTGAACCACTTCACCACCAGGTTCGTGATGCACGCGCGCCAGAACGGCAGCCGCTACGAGGCGGACAGGGACGTCCAGTTTCTGCAGGACATCACCTGCCTGAGCTCCCCCACCCGCCTGGCCGTCCTGCCCTGGGGAGAGCGGAAGATGCTGCGGTGGATCCAGGAGAACTATGGAGACCTGGATGTGTATATCACGGCCAACGGCATCGACGACCCATCCCTGGAAAATGATGAACTCCGAACATACTACTTAGGGAAATACATTCAAGAGGCTTTGAAAGGTGAGGTTCTGGGGTCCATTTCAGATACAGTGAAGTATGACATCCCCAGCTAATGTTTACAAATGGAGGGAGAATGCACATTAGTCACTCAGTACCTAGGGAAAATTTGGCAAGTATTTAAAAAAGAAAGAAAAAAACCACCTTAAATCTCACTCCCCAACAAGCACCGTCGCCATTTTGGATTTACTTCCAGCATGCTTGCTTTAAAAAAGAAAGAAAAAAACCACCTTAAATCTCACTCCCCAACAAGCACCGTCGCCATTTTGGATTTACTTCCAGCATGCTTGCTAGACAGTTTAAGTCATGCTCATGCTGCAATCGTCCTGTGTATTTTCTTAATACATTACTGTGTTCCATGTCACTGAAAGTACCTTAACATTGCTTAATACCTCATCATACGGACATATTTTCATGTTACTAGCCAATTGTTCGATATTTGTGTAAGATAAATTCTAACCGAAATAAGGTGACGAGAGGCAACAAACAGCCAGGCAGTTTGTTTGAGCGCAATCCCGGGCGAGGTTCACCAGTCTGCACCGGGACAGGCTGGAGAAGTTGGCTCCGTAGGGCAGGCAGCGTTTTTAAATAAGGTAGGGGGAGGCAGAGCTTAGATTTACAGTGCCGTGAGGATTGGCTAGCCTAAGGCACATTTTTCAGGTTGGGAGGGGACAGCAGCCGGGGACTTTGGCACGTCATCAGTGTCCGACATGCTCACCCCTCCTTCCGGTGCCTCCAACCTTACAATTTGGATGGTCTCGAATTTTTTACTACTAAAAAAATAGTTGTATGTAAACCTTTGTCGTCATTCCTGATCATCTCCTTAGGATGGATTGCTTAGTATGGAATTAGTCAAATGTTATGCAAGAGCAGTGGGTTTTTTCCCCCTCTCACACACACACACACAAGCTGTAGTTCCTTTTTAATTAAGATTTATCTATTTTGATGGAACTAAACAGCAGTTATCTCACACTCTCCCCACCATTGGCATACAATTTTTTAAAACCTTATTTTTAAATGTTCACAACAGATTTGTTCAAGCAGCAAAAAGATGCCAGAAATTTACTCATTTGACAGGTACTTATTGAGCACCTAATATGGGCAAAAACTGTTGGGGGCACTGTATCACCACTGAACAAAATACATTTTACTGTCCTCATGGAGGTTGTGCTTTTGTGGGACGAGTCAACGAATAGGCAAGTAATGTATATATAATGTCAGAGGTGAAAAGTTCTTTGGCAGAAAAACAGCAGGAAAATGGGTACCCAGGAGTGGGGTGTAGGAGAGTGGTTCCAATCATAAAGTGGTTAGGAAAGTTTTCAAAGATCTGGAGTAAGCTGTGCAGTTTGAGGGGAAGGTTCTAGTTGAGAACAGGAGTGCAAAAATCCTAGTGTGGAAGCATGCCTGGCCTGTCCAAAAATGAGGGAGGTTAGCATAGCTGGAAGAGAATGAGCAAGAAAGTAATTGCAGATGAGGTCAGAGTTCAGAGCCAGACCAGATAGAGCTTAGTAACCCATTTTAAGAACTGGCTCTTACTCTGAGATAGGAAGGCTATGGAAAATTTGTACCAGATAGGTGACATGGTCTAACACTTTTAAGAGTTGTTTTAGCTGCCCTTTTGTGAATATATCATAAAGAGCAAGAGTAGAAACTGGATGAGTTCCAAGTCTTGGTAAGTGATAATGGTGGATTGAATCAGGTTAAGAGCACAGATGGTAAGAGCTTAGATCCTGGATGTATTTTAATGGTTAAGTCAACAGGATTGGATGTGAAGTATGAAAGAGTGAAGAATATTCCTAAGGTTTTGGCTTGAGCAACTGAAAGGACGAGTGGCCATTTACCAGGTGGAGGAGAGATCAGTAGGAATTTTCTGGAGATGGGTTGTTTGGTGCCGCACAGGTCAGGTCTGAGATGTCTGATACCCAACAGGACATATCAAGCTGGCTGTTGGATAGGAGTCCAAGGCTCAAGAAGGGAAGTCTGGGACTGAGATACAAATTTGGGAGTCAAGAGCAATTGGATGATACTTGAAGCTGGTAAGGCTAGATGAGATCAGTAAGGGAGCAATCACAGAGGGCTGAGCCCTGGGGCATCAAATACTTAATGTCAGTGAGAAGCCAGTAAAGACTGACACAGGAACCAGTGCTGTAAAACAGAGAATGAGGGTGTTTTCACTTATCAAGAAGCTACAGCATGTTTATATGGAAATGATCCAGTAATGGAAAACTAGTATACCAGAAGAGAAGAGATGGAGCAATGTCCTTGAGTAGACAAGAATGAAGCATCCAAGTGGAGGAGTCAGCCTCTCACAGACAAATTATCCTTAACAGGGCAGAAAGCAGAGCATGAGTGCAAACACCAGGTGGTGGCATTATCATTGTGGGAGATTTGGGGTTCTCTGAGTACTCCGGTTTTTCAGTCAAGTGGGAAGGCCATCACTTCAAACATGACAGGAGGTGCTGTTAAGTCTGAGGGACAGGTCTGAAACAGGTGAGTGACTAGGGGAAACCAAGTGTGGCTATTGGGCAGCACCAAGGGCAAGATTTAGGCTTAGAAATCAGGCCAAACAGGCAAGATTTTTCTGCTTGTGACCCTATTAACAAAAGTGACAGTAAGCCCTTTTACATTCATGGCTCCAATTCTTAAATTTACTTTCCCCCCAGGTGTTGTTGTATTATTCATGCATTAAGGCTTTACTTCAAGTTTCTTTTTGAACTTAAATTATGGCACATATTTTCACTTCTCTGTATCATAAAGGAATGTAAAAAAAAAACACCCTTTAATGAGAGTCACCACCTTTTTCTATGGATGAGTTTAGTTTGTTTCAGTAAGAACTAAATTCTTATTCAAAGATACTGTCCACTAATATTGTTCGTTTCTGGTATTTTTCAGCATACCTGATTGATAAAGTCAAAATCAAAGGCTATTATGCATTCAAACTGACTGAAGAGAAATCTAAACCCAGATTTGGATTCTTCACATCTGATTTCAAAGCAAAATCCTCAATTCAGTTTTACAACAAACTGATCAGCAACAGTGGCTTCCCTTCTGAGAACAGCAGTCCTAGATGCAGTCAGACTCAAAGAAACACAGAATGCATTGTCTGCTTATTTCTCATGCAGAAGAAACCGCTGATATTCTTTGCTTGTTGCTTCTTCTCCACCCTGGTTCTACTTTTATCAATTACCATTTTCCATAAGCAAAAGAGAAGAAAAGTTTGGAGAGCAAAGAACTTACAACACATACCATTAAAGAAAGGCCACAAAAGAGTTCTTAGCTAAACTGATCCCAATTCTGTCTGCATGAAATTCTAAAAATTCACTCCAGGTCCATATACTGGTAACTTCCAGAAGACGTAACGACATTGCAGGAAGAAGGCAATTTGAGTATCAGTGGTAATTCACGGTGCCAGTAATCAAAGTCAGTGCTGTGTAGTTCAAATGAGGTTTTCCTTAGATGATGACATCTGAATTCACTTCTTGGATCTGAAGATAAAGGCTTTGCCTAGATACAGTAAGCTACGAGGACTGATACATTACTTCACAAAGTGTGGTGAACTGTTTACCGTTATTGTCTAGCTTTCTTCCATAAATACCAACAGCTACTTATAAGTTTTGATAAAATGCAGCTTTGTTTTTGTTAAGACTCCACAGCAGACATTTAAAACTCTTTAACAGTGGATAGTCAGTGATATATTGTCACTTCTATAAGGTGCTTTTCTCCTTAAGTCAGGGTGGTTTCCAAATGTAAAGAATACAATAGATTAAGTAGTGCAGTTCATCAATCCCTTAAGTTTTTCTCAATAGAAATAAAAACTATCAAGCATTCATCAACATCTGGTTTTGTGAGGTCTCTCCCTTTGTCAGATCTGATTTTTAAATAAGGTATAACTCTAACATGTAACTTCCACAACTCATCCATGGGAAGATCACAAAACTAAACCTGAGAACAAGACCCACCTGCATGTGGAGAGATGTCACTTAGCCTCAGTACAGCAACTTATTTAGACAGATAAGTCTTCCTCACTCGTTTTTCAGGAGGTGATGAGATCTAGCATACCTATGAACACTAACACTCTAAGATGTAACTTTTATTACCGAGTCACCAAAGGACCATATTCCCTAAAACCTCTCTCCCCAAGGAGCTTCACAGTTGATGCCGTATGCATAGAGACCTCCCAGAGGTATACAATACAGCCGTATCTTAACCAAGCAACTCACTTAAGATTTGTTTATAGTGTATTCTAAACCCTGGAGGAAAAAACTAAAGTATACATTTTACCCATTATACCCATTCTCTCTTTAGGTTAGTCAACAATTAAATAACCACCCATTACACAAGTAACTAGTCACTGTCCACCCTCTTCAGGAATTTACTTTCTTAAGAGTCAAAAGAAAGCTCTTTTGCTCACAAAGCCTTGGTAGAAAACTACCCTAAATTAAGGCAATTGTTTTCCAGGTCCACCTACATCAGAACCCAAATTTGTACATAACTGATATTGTAACTGATCATGAAATAATAGCAAGTCTCAAAGATACTGTGCATTTAACAGTTGATTCAAGTAAATGCAAAAGTGATGAGCAATCAATTTGCTATTGGGCTGACCCAGTTTAAATAGTAAAATTTAGCTTGTTTTTCTCAGTCTAATCTCCTTGCCCCCATTGCACTCACTCTCCCAACCTTGGCAGTTTTTAGTTTATGTTTTAAAATATATCTTCAAGGAATTTTTGATATTTTCTCTTTGAGAACCAAGTGGGCCTGAGGCTATACACAATTACAACTGGTTGACTGTTTTAAGTTTATTAACGAGGCAAAAAGACCATCATTTACAAGAATCACTTGGCTGGGTTTTTTCCCTTTGTGCCACATGGACTCACTCTTAAGCCCAGAGCTCCAGTGAGTGAGTATTCTCAAAGCAATTACCAGCTGAGCAACTCACCATCAACTTTTTAACTTCTAACATCCAAGGTTTTGAAAAAGAAATGCATATTCAGCAACAGGATTAACAAAGATTTGGAATTAGATTTAGGTTTTTTTCTGGTCTCTAAATACTATGTGCTCTTTGACTAAAGTATCTAGTATTCATGGCTTACAAGTCCATTCGTTCTCACTACTTTTTTCTCTTCATGTTTATAGCTTAAGCTTAAAACCTAAGTCCTTTTTTTAGCTTGTTGCCTGGCCATAAACTCCTCCAAATAGTGGAGTCCCTAAATCCAGTGTTTACAGTACCCCCTTTCTGCCACCTAGGAATTATTTTACTAGTTTTTAAGCCATCTTGATACAAGAATATTTAGGTATTTAATATGGTTCATGATTATACCATTAAGGTTTATTTAAACTCATTTATAAGTCATAAAGGGTCCATTAGAAACTGTTGATAGCTTTTGATAAGATCTTCAGAATTTAAGCTTTTTGAGACTTGTTGGAAAAATCACCTTAAAATATTAATGTTAGATTTTTTTATATTCAGTATAACCCTTTCACTAACAAGTCTTTGATGTAGATGGAAAATACCCCAACTATGTTAAAGAGCCTCTTAAAAATGATGTCTGTACATTGTGACTAAATGTTTAATTCTCAATGTAACTTATTCCAAATAAACTGGTTTATTATATTTAATCAATAACCTAGTCAATTTTAAGAACTGTGGAATGTGAATGGATCTGGTGTTGCCCCTGGATTCTGTCCCAACAATGCCTCCCCCCATCTTCCCAAGCTGTGCCTCCTGGATAACTTTCTTCTCATTGTGGACATCTACACCTCAAGTTGGTAAAGTAACACACAAATGCTTATCCATACACACAGAAGACATGAAAGTCCTCCTTGGGCTGACTAGTTTTTACCACACCCAACTTACTAAATGGCAATCATTCCTTAGATAAACCAGCCTCCAACAGTTGTCCTGTGAAGGTCTCACCCAACATACCAATCCACTTCACTTGGAGAAATTATATTTAGTCCTACAGCCCCTACTACTGCCTATACAATGATGCTCAGTATTAACAACTGTATTCCTGTGTAATATTGCCACTTGGAAACTTCTTCCTCAACCCTCAAAATCAGTTTTGAAATCCTGACAATATCTTCCAAAACACCTCCTTTCCAGTCTCATAGCTAATACTTCCTGAGTCTTTATAACATGAAATCTCCCTGGCAATCTGGGTACCATTCACTTAGCAAATAGCTATGTGCCAGGCATTGTTCCAGTACCTGGAATATTCTGGTGTAGAAAAGAGATCCTACCCTCATTAAGGTTACTTTATAGAAGGAAAAAAGCATACTACTATCACACACAAAGTAAAGTATTAATATTATAAATACTATGGACAAAAACAGTGGAGCAGGGTAAAGGATGCCAGGATGGAGGTGACTGAGGACAGACAACACAGGGTACAAGTAGGCTTCCACTGAAAATATAGACTATAGACCTGAAAGTAAGTTGCCACTCCAAAGGGAAAAGGCAGCTCCTATGAAAGGGAAGGACAACTTGAAGGCTTTAAGGTGGTGCTCTTGAGGAACAAGGCGGTCAGTTCAGCCAGTGTAGTCAGAAAGAGGAGATGAAACACACACACATTCTGGTTGCTGCTGAGAACAGCTGGGGGAGGAACAAAGGTGACCAGTTAAGTCTATTACACTATCCAGGCAAAACAGTTTCATTTTCTTCATTATGAGTAATTTCAAAACTCTGTAAGTAGTAACAGTATAATGAATACTCATCTTTCAGCTTTAACAAACATTAATTTATAGGTTGATTAGTTTCACCCAGAACCCTCTCTGATGCCTACCCCAATTCCAATATTTCAAAGCAAACCCTGGATTTCTCATTTCATCCAGATTTCTTTAAAATACTTAACCATTATCATCATCAAACCAGATTAAAAACCCAGTTCATTCATTTAAATCGAGATATCATGACCCATTCATTCCAAATGGCTTTTTCTCCCTTGGTTTTTTTTTTAATTTCCACCAAATGAGATGGGTAAGACCGAAGGAAGAGGTTTGAGGACAACCCAGTTGTCGAGTTGAAGATTCTAGTATGGTAGCATTATTTGAAGTTTGATACATGGAATTAAGAGATTATAGAAAAGACAATCATTTTTTTAAAATACCAAAAACTAGGGAGTAAATGGCTGAGATAAAGGACAAGATTGAGGACCTACGACAGTAGCAGCCAAGTTTATCATGAACGCAAATTAACTGCATCTTCCAATTCTTACTAAGGTTCTATCATTTGTTCCACTTCTCAGCTGCTTTTTCATAGAAAGTTACTGGTAAACAAACTAAATGACTGAGGTACACCTGCCTCACAGTATTCAAATTCATACCTCTGTAGAATTAGATACTTTCAGGACCTTCCTCAAAGTTCTACACAGAATAATGAACAGCCACACAGTACTGCCTATCACCAGTACCATATTCCTCTTGCCTGAAATACTCTTCAAATTCCTCCAAATACCAGATTCAAGCCACTTCTCCCTTTAAGTCTTACTAGAAAAAACTCCTGTTCCTTGTTATTGTTCTTAGCACACTAAAATTTACTATTGTTTGCTCGCCAAATAGTTTCAAAGTTTAAGAAAAAGTCCCAAATCAATAAGGCTTTTATTATTTTTTAAAATACCACAAATAAGTTTAAGGAATCATCCGGCATCTTGCTGTTTCTGTAGCTGCACAACTGTAAAAGAAATGAAAATGTCTGTAAATCTCCATCAGTACCCTTGCGCAGGGAAGTTCCACTCTATATCATCTATAACACAAGGTTATCACTTACTAGTTCATAGTGTTTCAAGTCCATCTCTTATTCTACCAAATTTACTGTTCCAGTATGCAACTTTTCATTTTCTGCCATTACAACTCCAGTTTAAGGCTCCTTAGAAAATTAAGACCCCCAACTAAAGCAGCAATAAAAACTTAAAAGACACAAGAACCTACCTTAGATATTATTTATTCATCAGCCTGCTGAACTGTTCCTTTTTCAGAAACATAGATACCATCCAAAAATTTTCTGATATCCTTATTTTTAACTGTCGTGGCTTGCTGAATCAAAGCAGCTATAAGAGTAGGAAAAAAAAGTAATTACCTTATGAACCAAACCTATCTTAGTAAGTATTCTATTGTACGCTATATTTAAAACTTGCATTATCTTTAGGATATATTTTTATTTAATTTCCACAATTAAAGAAGTTCACCAAATGGAAATTAAATTCCTATTTAATTCCTACGATTAACGAAGTTCACAAAATGGACAGAATACCATGTATTCAAGTACACGATGCAAACTTTGTAGGCATAATTAGGCATAGTAAAACATACAAACCTGAATTTGATACAAGTTCAATATCATTTCCCTCAAGAATCAACTCATCTTTCTGGGCTTGAGATACTGAACAAGCAACACCTAAACGGAGAGATCATTTGCATAATGTCAACATAAAACCAGACCTTTATGAGAAATAATTCACAAAATATTTAAATTAAGTAGCAATATATTCCATTTAAAATTCCATGTACAATGAACTTCTCTTTTGAGATTTTGGTTTTTATAGGATTTGACTTACCTGGGCCAAAATTTTTATACTGTTGTTTGAATGAATCCATCTCAGAATCATCATCGATTTTCAGCATTTTAATTAATGAATAGGAAAAATGGTGTTCAGCTAGTGCAATTTAGCTGTACAGAGGTTTGTTATCAAGTCTTATTTCTAATGTATAATGTTTGGTAACCCTCAAAATTTACATTTTAATGTAAGAGTTCTCATTAAGTGTTGATGACTATAGCTAATATCATATATTTTTGTTGAGCCATTAAATTAGCACTAAAAATCTCTTCTTCCCACTCCTCCCTGCCCTAATAAAATCAAAGAGCATCAAGAAGAGGACTAAACGTTAAATCTTTCTAATGTTTCAATGCTTACTATGTATCAAGCATGAGCTACTTAAACTGTATTTGTTTTATCTCACTAATCACTATATGTTCCCAATTTTACAGGTAAGTAAAATAAACCAGAGGTAATATGCCCCAAGGTCAATAGCAAGAGCTGAGATTTGAACCTACGCAAAGTCTATGCTATTAACCACTATTCAAATGGGTCTCTTTTTTTATAGGATTTCAGTTTGCAAAGCTAATTAAACACATACCCTACAAACTACTGCAATATGTAAGCCTTCAGGGATTGCAGTTGGTCTAGGCGATATAGCACCTTAACTAGCACCATTAGTTATTCTAAGCATAATCAAAATGGGTAATTCTGAAATATATTGTTTTATACATAGGCAACTTAAAACACCAGCCCTCCCAAGTATAAAGGAAAAATTTCTGAACCCCATCTAAAGGTATGCACATACCTGGCCTCATTCGAACCCTGCGGATGTACTTTTCACCCAAGAAATTTCGGATTTCAACAAGAGAACCATTCTCCTGGATAACGACGTTGATGGGGAAGTGAGCATAGACAGACCTCATCTTGTAACGGAAGCCCTGTTAAGTCAATGAACTATTAGCAATGCTGAGAAATGTTAAAAAATTCCAGTTTTTAAATTTTGTAGAATGCTTGCATTGTAATTCAGAAATGAACTAGTCCTCACATAGCATTCATTTTCAAGGTTTTCTAACAACTGTCACCTGTACCAAGCCTCATAAAAATACTATACACAATCATGTTTCTGTGTTTCCTCAGTGGACTGTAAAGCTCCGTCAGGAAGCATTTATTTTACTACTTCCTATGCCCACAGTACATAATAGTAGCTTCTTTTAATGGGTATCCCAACCCCCTTCACCTTGGGCATTAGATTAACATGAGTACTAAAGTATGCCAAATGTCAAGAATTGAGGCCACTAAGACAGGCCGCCTGCCCTCAAGGAACTTAGCCTGGGAGCAAAGGTAAACTACGTAAACATGACTGAATAGGTTTATAATGGCATTAAGTACAGCTGCCATTATCAGGTACACTCTAGAAGGGCTGAGTTTTAATGCAAAGAAAAATTTTTCAGCAAAAGCAGCAGCATGAACTTTAAGACTTTGAGAAGGGGATTTGGAAAGAGAAAGTGACAACAAATATGCCTTTAGAGAAATGGGAAGGGAGTTCGGCAATTATATCCACCTTTTTCTATCCCTAACAAAGCGCCCTGGTGGTAAGCAGCATACCAAAAAAATCAAAGCTACCCTATTTGCTACATTTCCTATAAAAAACATGTGCTGAAAGTGTGAATCTTTTTTGTGTGAAAAAAACACCATCACTCTACTTAATCCTAAAGACCCAGGGATGCTCATTAAACACATTTGCTAATCACCTTTACCCAAGTTCTAGAGCCCAAGTATTTCATGAATTACATGAGTAATCTATTCTCTGCAGGAGGTATTTGCTGCCTACAAAAAGTACAACAGAGAAACCTCCCTCTCCAAAACAAAGTAACCTGACCAATCTGCTTACCAGTGTAACACCCTTGATCATGTTCTGTACGTGACTACAGATAGTGCGAACGGTAGCCAGTTCCTTTCTATTTCCCCACCATTTGTCAACCCGGAGCTGTAACAGAACAAAAACTTTAGAAGACTCTTTACAGTATTAAGTAGGCTTGGTGGAAAACAGTCTATTTAGTCATATTATTCTAGCATTACCCTAATTAAAGCACATGATTTTCAACTGGAAAAATGCAACCACATACAAACCCTCCAAAATTAACAAGTATTTTTATTACAATGCATCAAGGGTACACATTTTCACAAAGGAATGATGACCCAGAACCACCAATTTCTGTACAAGTTGTGTCAAACTTCACTTCTGGAAAACTAAAATACTAGATTTACAAGGCCTATAGCCCAGTCCTTAAACTTCTTACAAAACAATCACAAGGAAAATAAACATAACCTGTAATAGACTAATATATGCCATTAACGATGAGGACTAGTACTGGGCTTTCTTCGTAATCCACTGCACTCAGAACTTGGTTTTACGACT